GAAACAGCAGGTCGAACAGACAGTGGCGTGCGCCACGGCCGAAGCGATCGGACGGCCAGTAAAGTTTCCAAGTTCAAGTCCATCCCAGGCTTCTCCGAAACCATTCCCATTTCTTCTTGTCCGCCGAATGTGCCGTGCCGATCGTGTTGTCACTCCTGCAGCACCTGACAATATCAGGGGAATAGAGTTGCGTCTTGCCTCTCGTGGTGCCTTTGATTCAGCTGAGCTGAGAGAGAAAACCAAGATAACGAAGCCTTCTGGAATATCTCAGAACTCAATGTTCTCAGAGCATAAACACAGGATAACACGCTGGAATGCTCATCCCCTCGGCAGATTTCCCTGTCGGTACGAGCCCCCAGAGCCGTATCGAGTTAACATGATTGGTGCTTCTAAGTTAGGGTGGTGTCTCCGTCTTGTCCACCTTCTGCTTTGGGCCGTTTGGTCGCATGCTCTCACAAGCGCACCCCTGAAAGCTTTCATCTCACTGGCTGAGTATCATCGACCCCAGCGATGGCGTTGTCTTCCTAAGTTTCTAGTGCAGCCTTATCGGCCCTTCTTTCTCTGTGCTGCTGAATCTCCAATTCATAATTCGTCCTCTTGAGGTCGTTCTCTCTATTGTCGCCTCTGCACTGCCTGGTAACTCGAGTCGTTGGTTTTGAGAGTCATTGCTGCCATGTTTTAGCTGTGCCTGGATGGATTTTGACCGTGTTTGGTTTTAACCATAAACCCTCGGAACTGCTGAACCGAGGATATGTCTGTTTCCCTCTTATCTCCCTCAAAGAGCCCACTCCAGCCTCCTCTAGACAACATATTGGGTTGCCTTTCTGGGAAACTTTGGCGAGGGAACTTTTGCTGGCGCTCTCTCACGCGCATTACTTGGCGTTCTGGCCGTGGACATTCCCCGTCTTTTTTCTGGCTCCCATTGTATCGATGGTCCTATCACAGCATCGCCCATATCTTGTCTAGCTGCTGCGTCAAGTCTGGGGAACGATAACGTTAGCAGGCCCTGGCCATTGCTTTGGTGCGACTCACTGCACTGTCCTACAGGCGGCAGACACCCCAGTCCTGGTAGTGTCCGCTGGGTTGTCGTTCTTGGTCTGGTTCTGCTCGCTCTTGCCTGTACCGTCCGTTCGAGCGTTCTTCCTTATTATTATACGTACCGATAGTCATGGGCGTTTCTGCCCGCCTATTCATCCTCCCGTTCTTGAACCTCCATCTGAGCTCTCCCGCTCGCCACATTAACGAGTGATGAATTCTCGCATTGGCGACTGAGGACACAGCCGAGGCCTTCGACTCGCCTCAGTCCGTCATTGACTGCCTTTCAGCCAGCAGACCGGGCCTCTCACGTCCGGCCTGGGCATCACCGGCGACATGTTTAACCATTCAGCAGGCGGGCCTCGCCCTTCCGACAACAATGAGGATCCGTCGTATGGCTTCGCCGACCAAGGCTGGCACAGGTTCACCATGAACAATAACAACACAAATAGTTTCTCGACGGGAAATTCGCAATCATATCACGATGGCAGCGCATCCTATGGCGACTCATCCGGCATGGATTGGGCGCCAACTCCATCGGCAGAATATGACTTGCGATTCGATCAACACGACCACATGTCTCAAGATGTCGAACTCGATAACATGAGCTCTTCGCAAGGTGGAGGAGGTGGCGTTGGACGCCTGGTTGCGCATTTCGAGAACAAATCTTTTGCGCCCCCTCTACCTCCAAGACCATCGAACGTCGTAACAAGCCCAGTACATCAAGAGCCTCCTGTTTCCTCGCCGTTCGGAAACTTCAGTGTCACCTCACCTATCGTTACAAGTCCTCTTGCCAGTCCTGCAGAGCCCAACTATGGACTCTTGAGTGGTCATTCAAGAGTCACTAGTCCAATCGTTAGCCCGCCGCCAGCCCTCGCTTTTGGCGGATTTCATGATATACCAGTCCACAGTCCAGGTGTGGGTTCGCCGTCCGGTCCCTTCGGAAGTATGAACAGTTTCATGGTCAACAACAATAGAGTGACGACCCCGATGGAGACAGCATCCATGGCTGGGCCTTCAATGATGCCAAATTCTAACATGAACGCCAAAATCACCTCACCCGGCCCAGTTGCCCCAGGTGTGCCGGGTACACCTGGATTTGCCATATGGCGGCCACCAGTACCAATGACTTCTAAACCCTCCTTGGATCAACCACAAGGCAGCAGTACTTCCTCAAACTCCGGCTATTTCGCAAAACCCCCGATCCCCTCTACACCTAAACCAGTGATGAACGCCGGAAGCCAGCTGGTCTTGGATTTCAATACCAATTCCACCTTTAATGCTAAAGGCAAAGCCCCTGCGAAGCCGCCTGTCAAACCACCCAGGCCTGTTCGACAACCCTCCCGATCATCAATGTCTACACCTGGACCTTTTAGCCCTCCTATTAAACAGGAACCCTCTACACCACAACTTTCTCAAGCCTCTACCTCCTCCATGCTGCCTCCGGTATGTTTCATGAAATTTAGATCGATATGACCTATTGCTAACTCTTCTTAGAATGAACGAAGAACTTCCGTATCTCAACGATCTCAAGCAGGAAGTCGTCCTTCAAGAGAACAGGTTCCGGCTGAGGCATGGGAATCCTTCAAGCACACAATCCGTAAACTGTATCTTGAGGAAAGGAAACCACTTAAAGAGGTCATGTCTGTCATGGCCGACCAGTATGGCTTCCAGGCAACGTAAGTCCTTATTCACCTCCCACTGAGTGCCATTACTCATCCTTTGTAGGCCAAAAATGTACAAGACTCGATTCTCGCAATGGGGTTTTGTGAAGAATAATACCGAAGAGGAAGTAAAGCGCCTGCTGTCCATGAAATTCCAGCGCGACGCTGAGGGTAAGGTGTCCGAATTCGTTCGTAACGGCAAGGTTGTCAACCTGGGCACCTACTTGAAGAGAAAGGGAGTTACCGAGTACGACTTGGTTGATTTCGAACTGCCTGCCGATTTGCCGGCACACATCAGATGTAGAACACCAACTCCGCCTCCAACACCAGGGTATCTCCAATCACCGGATCTCCTTCGGGCTCAGGAAATCATCATCAGCAACATGAGAAAAGCATTCTTGCAATGTCGACAATTCGAAGTCGAGACTGACGCCCAAATTGGATGGCAAACTATCATGGTGTGGGGGGCGGGTTCAAGTGATCTTCTTCTCGAGGCTAACCACTATTTCGAGATGAAGGACCACGATCAGGGTGGCCATTTTCTGATGAAGGCTTTCCAACAGCTTGAATCAGATCTGAAGAAGCTTTCTCCTCAGGGAATCAAGGAGTTGCTTCTGGGTATGGTTCATCGCGATCCAGGAATGATGACGGCACTCTGCAAGTATCTAGCGGCTTACTCGACGACTAACTTCGAGAGGTCACATCCCCTCCGGCAGATCTTCTCCTGTTTATATGAGGTGCAACAGAAGCATGGGCCAGGCACACTATCGGAATTGCTGTGGGGAAGCATTCCAACCATCGCTGAGGAGCTGGAGGCCATTTATGGTCGCAAACATCCCTATGTGGCTCGAACATGGGTTGACCTAGCCATGTTTTATAATCATGTGAGCCAAGAGCGACTGGAGAAATTGGTGGGAGAACTGCGACTGCTGCAGCGACAAATGGAGCAACGACTAGGTCCTGAAAGCGTCGATGTTCTCGTTCTGCGATATACAATTGTCCAGTTGATGTTCGCGGCGCACCCTCAAGCTGATGCGACTAAGCAAGCAACGATCGACCTCTGGCATCATATGAGAGGCATGGGACTTCTATTCCCCATTCGTAGCCAGCAACCGAACATGTTCTGCTATCACAGTCCCGTCAAGGTCGATCCTTGGACGAAGCGTTGTCGGCGTCGATACGATTCTGGTGTTCAATTCCTCGAAGAACATGTCGGGGTTCGCGTTGTCGTGTACTTCGAGGAGGACTTCCATACCACGGAGCACGCACCAGAACATATTCCTCATCAGCACCAGCAACGCCAGCAGCAATATCAGCATCGGCAGCCACAGCAGCAACGCCCACAACAGCTCCAAGCACAGGACTCGTGGGCGGCCGCGATGGGGCAGCAAATGTCGAGCTCAAAGTATTCGTTCATCTGAGCAGGATCTCAGATCGTTTATTGTTCTTGGTCCTGATGCGTAGTATCAGGATCCGACGCATGTAATTCGACGAAGCCGGTGTTTTCAACAAGTATTGGTGACGGAGGCGGCTTCAACGACTGCACGATATACTACTATACGTGTCGCCAGTATATGTACATATCTTGGCACCGATAACTTTGGATTCGATCATGATCCCATTGATGAGTACACAGCCTGGAGTCTGGTACCGAGCAAGCATATCTTCTTTGTGGGTTTTAACGTCTCATGGACCGGCGTTTGTTCTTTGGGTTTTGCGTTAGCCAGCACGGCACAGCACAGCAGGATTTGGGGGAAACGTGCTTGAACATTTTGGTTTTGGTCGATTATGATATGACATCCCCCATTGTATAATAGTAACTGACGCGCCGGGTATTGATGAGACAAGACGAGGTTGGATGATGGCGGAGTTTGGGGAGTCTTCAAAATGACGGCGCTCTAAAGAGAAATGAAGGGGTTTACATTGAGAAGGTGCAAGGCAGGCGCGAAGGTTTGAGACCTAAGGTTGGAAGGAAGGAAAGAAGGATATGAACAATCCCCTCCATAACGAGGGAAGGCGATACCCTGGGCCAAAATTACAAGTCGAAACCTTGGTAGTGAAATCAGGTAATACAAATAGACATTTATCTACAACATTTATCTACTAGCACAACATAAACCTTATGTTTTAAACAACGCGTTCCAACAACATTACTGAGTATTTATACCTTCTCAATTCTGTGGTTCAAATGGGCGCCGCAGCCATGATCCCCGTGAATTATTTCCGGGCTATCCCCGGCGCAAAACGAAAACCTCCACAAATCCTCATCATGACAACCTCTGCACTGCTCAAGATCCTATCATGCGCCTATCCCACCCTTCAGCCCTCGTGGGCATCTCTTCTACCCCCCTGAGACGATTATACTCTGCATCGCGCAAAATCCAAGGTAAGTAAATTCCCGCCTTCGCCCTCCCGAAGTCTCATCATGGATGCTAACCCCACGGCCCCCAGAGAATGACGTTCTCTTCCTGCGCCAACAGGGTATTAAAGCTCCCAAATGGCATCTTACGTCCCCTCTTCGCGCCGATACGAAAATAAGACTTGGTTATGGTGCCTCTATTGGTTCATCCGAACTCATTGGTCGTCAGGTGCTTGATGTTCTGAATGATAGCTCGGGACGTTCTGTCACTCTTCACGAGCCGACCTTGGCTTCATACATCATTAACAGCCCTCGACAAGCCACACCGGTACGATTCAGTGCCAAGCGCGCTCGATAACTATTACTGATATGAAATTGTTTCTTAGATCTATCCCCACCATGCGAATACCATCGTGTCGCTCCTCGATTTAAACCTTCCCCGGCCTGGTGAAGAGGAACACGACGTAGATCCCAATCATCCAACCCAGCCGTTTGAGATATTTGAGGCTGGTACTGGAATGGGGAGCTTGACGTTACACCTCGCCCGTGCTCTTCATGCAGCGAATCCAGCTGTACCTCCAAGCCTGCGAAACACCCTCTGCACGGCACGCTACAGGACCGATGGGTTTGGTCTTGATCTCGCCGACAAGGACCAGGCTGCCCTCGACTCTTATCGGTCCAGCCGTCGCGCCGTGTTGCATACCCTTGACCGGAGCGTTAAACACTCGCGTGCAGCACATAAACTGATTCGCCACTTCCGCCGCTCTTTGTACTTCCCCACTATAGACTTTCATGTCGGCTCCATAGATGAGTATATCTCATCTCGTCTTGCTGAGACGGACAACCAGCCTCTCCTTGCTCATGCAATCCTCGACCTCCCTTCCGCTCACGACTACGCTTCCCAGGTTATTCAGGCCCTCCATCCTAACGGCCTTCTTGTCATCTTCACGCCCTCCATTAGTCAAATCGCTGACTTCCAAACTTGGGTTGCTCGCACAGGCCAGCCCATGCGCCCCGAGAGGGTCATTGAGCTCGAGGTTTCGACAACGGCTGACGGTGTTCTTGATACTGGCGGTGGCAAGGAGTGGGATGTCAAAACCGTTATCCCTAGAGAAAACCCTGAAGGCGCTGCAGTGCAAGTGATGCGACCAAAGGTGGGTGAGCGAGTCACTGGTGGTGGGTTTGTTGCTGTTCTCAGGCGATGGCCAGTTGATCAGATACGCTCGCAAGTTGAGTTCTGTACACAGGAGAGTTCTTCTGAAGTTGAGTGTGGGTTTGAGAATAAGGGAACTTCTGAAGCTGAAGGGAGCCCAGAAAGTGAAGAAACTACTGAAGTTGGGGGCACGGCGGATGCTGAGCCAACAAAGACTGAATGATGTTCATGAATCTCGTAACAATCTATAAATCTTGTACAACACAATCTGTATAGTAGACTTTTAAACCTATAGAGTCCGGACATTTATAAATTAACAGTAGATGAAGCAACGAATGTAATAAGAGTGGAAGAACAGTAATGCCGCTTGCTATCTCGTTCTGGTTCCTCAAAGCATGAATGGGTATCTCTATGCAACATGCTCAAATATCAAGTCATATCCCCTCCTCACATTCAATCATCAAGATTTCATAATCATCCCTATCCCGTCTTTCTTTTTCCCCCAATTCTTTGCACTCCTTTTCCAAATTCTGCGGAGTGCAATGTCCAGCATTTCCCCCAGATTAAGAATCCCCAAAAAATGACCCGTAGTTTGGAATACCAGTGCATCCAGTGCGTGGTCTAACCCGACCTGCGGCACCGAAGATTAATCAAACAAGTAACAGAGAACTTATGCCTCTGCTGCAGAGGAACGAAATGAAATAAAGATTGCTTTCCGTGGTTCAATCTTGTGGTATAGCCTCTTTTTCTGAGGAATGGGCTTGCGCCGCATGGAATCTTCCAACCTGTAATGCTTTCCAATGAAACTTGCCTATCTTGCGCAATGTTGTGACCGATAAGGAAAAGTAGAGGAAGAAAATAATTTGTTGTGTTAAGTGCTTAGACACTGGTGATGCGCTCAAGAGGAGCTCGAGCGCAGCAGACCATGAGCTTCAGGCTTGTACCGAGCTCTTCAGCTTCAGAGAGTAGAGACTTATCGCTCCAAATGCTCTTTTCAGAGGGGTTCCCAGCTGCGTTTTCGTAGCACCGTGTGTACCACCATCGGCCAACCCGGCTGACCATCTTGGTGATGCCCTCGTCTGCCAAGGGGCTGTTGTCGCTCATCATCTCGGATAGACTTGGCGGATCCTTCTTCTTCTCAGCAATAGCTTTGCCCTTGTCGGCCTTACTATCTGAGCGAGTGACGGAACTTGCAACGGGAACACCCACTCGTGCTGCCTTGATGGTAGTGAAACCAACCTTGCCAAGGAGACGAACAATGAGATCCGCGGTTGATCCGAGACTAGTATCAGGCGTCTTCTCATTGATCCTCTCTTTGAGACGGCGGACTGTACGCCGGCCCCGGTTGCCCATGTTGTTTAGGTCAACATCGAGAATAGAGAGCTCGATGAAGCCTCCTGGCTTCAACACACGGCGAGCTTCGGTGAGAATGCTGCGGTAGTATGCTTCAGGAGCTGCGACAGGAAAGCGATAGACAACAGCCGTAAAGCTCTGAGGGGCGAACGGAAACTTGTCGAGGTGAGAGACGTATTGGATCTGGTGGTGGTTTGGAGGGCTGAGAGGGAAGCTCGAAGATGAACTCTTGAGTTCTTCAGAAAGAGGAGCGCGAGGAGACAGGTTGAAGAAGGTGGCAGCAGGGTATGTTTCCGCAGCGTAGAATGACCAGTCATCGTTACCAAGGCCATCAATTACGAGGATTGAGTGTCTCTTCAGTGATCCCTCAACAGGAACCAGTTCATGGCGAACGTCACTGAAGAGAACATGCCCGAAGGTAAGCCACTTGCTCACCGTCATTGAACCAACTCTGAGGTTTACTTGTGCGAGTGGTGACCCGTCCTCGGAAGAGGAGCTGGCATCAGATCGTCTCGTCTTGCGGGAAGATCGACTGCTTCGTCGAGATACCTCACCAGCCGCAGGAACCTCGGTGTTGGTGTTGCGGTC